CTGGACATATGTGAACTGATGGACATCTGTGAACTACTGTTGGACATCTGTGAACTACTGGACATCTGTGAACTACTGGACATGTGTGAACTAATGCTGGGCATCTGTTAACTACTGGGCATCTGTGAACTACTGTTAGACATCTGTGAATTACTGGGCATCTGTGAACTACTGGGCATCTGTGAACTACTGTTGGACATCTGTGAACTACTGGGCATCTGTGAACTACTGGGCATCTGTGAACTGCTGGACATCTGTGAACTACTGCTGGACATCTGTGAACTACTGTTGGACATCTGTGAACGGCTGGACATCTGTGAACTACTGGACATCTGTGAACTACTGCTGGACATCTGTGAACTGCTGGACATCTGTGAACTGCTGGACATCTGTGAACTGCTGGATATCTGTGAACTACCGGACATCTGTGAACTACTGCTGGACATCTGTGAACTACTGGGCATCTGTGAACAACTGCTGGACATCTGTGAACTACTGCTGGACATCTGTGAACTACTGTTGGACATCTGTGAACTACTGCTGGATATCTGTGAACTACTGGACATTTGTGAACTACTGCTGGACATCTGTGAACTACTGGACATCTGTGAACTACTGCTGGACATCTGTGAACTACTGGACATCTGTGAACTACTGCTGGACATCTGTGAACTGCTGGACATATGTGAACTGCTGGACATCTGTGAACTACTGTTGGACATCTGTGAACTACTGGACATCTGTGAACTACTGGACATGTGTGAACTAATGCTGGGCATCTGTTAACTACTGGGCATCTGTGAACTACTGTTAGACATCTGTGAATTACTGGGCATCTGTGAACTACTGGGCATCTGTGAACTACTGTTGGACATCTGTGAACTACTGGGCATCTGTGAACTACTGGGCATCTGTGAACTGCTGGACATCTGTGAACTACTGCTGGACATCTGTGAACTACTGTTGGACATCTGTGAACGGCTGGACATCTGTGAACTACTGGACATCTGTGAACTACTGCTGGACATCTATGAACTGCTGGACATCTGTGAACTGCTGGACATCTGTGAACTGCTGGATATCTGTGAACTACCGGACATCTGTGAACTACTGCTGGACATCTGTGAACTACTGGGCATCTGTGACCAACTGCTGGACATCTGTGAACTACTGCTGGACATCTGTGAACTACTGTTGGACATCTGTGAACTACTGGGCATCTGTGAACTACTGCTGGACATCTGTGAACTTCTGGACATGTGTGAACTACTGTTGGACATCTGTGAACTACTGGATATCTGTGAACTACTGTTGGACATCTGTGAAAAAAAAGCTGTATAGGTCACCAGATTGTGAGCATGATTGGTCTCACGCAATCGGCAGGGGTCAACCTAAATCTCTACATCGCTTTAAAGTCTCACGATATCCCCCCCCCCCGATCGATATACGATCTCCTCCCTCGGTGCACCAAGTAATTCGCCTCCCGTCGGAGTGCGACGTTGAACGCCGGAAAACACTGCGGCTCTCCCACCGTTGGCCAATCCACTGCTGGATGATGAAGACCTCTCCGCGCTGCGCTTACCCGCACGTGGGATGCTTTGCCATGCTCACCTACGGTGCGCGATGGCGGCGCGAGGGAGTGCCCGGAACCGGCTCAGATGCGACTCGCCACTGACGTTGACAGCCGTGGTGAACCGAGTTCAAGTTTGAGCGGTTCATGGTGCAGTGCGCTAACCACTGCGCCACCGTTCCATCCGCACACACGCACGGGTGCATGGACAGGTTTCCCTCGCTCTGCGCGGGTTCTGTTTGTGCGAATTCGCTCTGCGCGGTTTAAATTCACTCGCGTGCGGCTATGCGGTCGGGCGTGGAACAAGGTTGTGTGTACTGTGTATGTACTGTGTGCGCTATGCGTATGCACTCTGTGTACTGTGCGCACTACTCGGCACGCATCTACCGCTTACCGCGTACAGCGAGGGAAACCTGTGGAGTGCAATTTGTCTGTATTATAAGGGGACTTGCAACGCGCTGGGGACAGGCTGGCTTTGTTTACTCAGACCTGTTTAGAGACGGGGGTGACACGCAGATTAACCTTCGTATAAACCACTTAACGGGTTACGGAATTGACCAGAAACTCACAAAACAACATCTGAGTTCGTGAGCGGCAAGGCGGGGCCTCTCCACTGCACTAGAGGAGTTGTACACCCCTAGCTGCCACTGCTATTCAGTGGCCTAAAATAAAATGTTTCGCTCCGGATGACCGCTGCAACGTATTATCTGTATTTTTATTCAGTGTGCTGATCTTAAAGGTGCATTGAAAAATGTGATACTCCGACTGATGTTCCTGTTGTTGTGGAGTGACTCATGCAGCCAGCTATGGCTCTAGGATTTGGTGTTATATGTTGTTTGTCATTTATTGTGAAAATTCGGTCACAGTCCCTATGATCACTGTTACATTGCATTTATGGCTTTATTTTGGTGATTTCGAAAACGTTTTTTGGTTTGGCCATGTTTTTGTTTATTGTAGTACCGAGTTAGACTGATGGCCTTAATCTTAGTTGTCTTGTGGTTGTTGTTGTTTGACTTGCATCCCACTGGGATTTTTGCACACAGCGTTGGTGTACGGTGCTATTTCAGGAATATTTTGATGTTTTTTCCTGGATTTTCTGTTTGCACAGTCACGTAGTCACTTTAATATGTTTTCTTGTTCATGTTTTTGTTTTTTGTTTGTTGCGGTTGCACCCGATTCAAGAGCCGAATGGCTCACAGGGCTATACCAAATAAATGGAACTATGAACTATTTCCAATTGGCGTCCTCGAATGTACGCTTACGAGGACGTAAGCGCACATTCGAGATGGGGTGCTGCGGTAACGAGATGTTAACTAGGACTGAACGATTTGGGGAAAATATCTAATTGCGATTTTTCTGACAGATATTGCGATTTGATTACCACGTGATGCCATCAAAATATGAACTGCTCTATATATTCTAAAGCGAGGATAACTTAAAAGATATGAATTGCTTCCAACATGTATTTATGAAAATGTTTTAATTGAAATAGAACAATTGGTAAGTTAAATAAAGAAAGTATAATAAATAAAACAATTCCAATAAGAGGACTTTTCAAATTGCAAAAAATCGCGGCCTTTGCGATTTGCTAATCGCATTGTTTAAAATTGCCATTTGAAATCGATTAATCGTTCAGCCCTAATGTTAACTACCGGGCCTGGTGTACAGGCGTTTCCTGACGCCTGTATATTTTGAGTTTTCACGTCTCTCTCCGTGGTCGCGTGGATTTTTCTCCAGGTCCTCTGGATTTTCCCCTCCACATTTAGAATCAACATTACGCGTTTAAGAGTATTTGGCTGCTATAATTTTTCACGTGATCAGCACCTTCGTTGGATGATCACGTGGCCAGGTCGCTTCTGAAAAAAAGTCATATAGCTTAAATTAAAAGTCATATGGTTAAATTAAAATATAGCCTAGTTAGTTTTAGTAAATTGATGGTGAGCGCGATGGACTTGCAGTCCAGGTCGTCAGCTCTAGTCCATCTTCTGGCGCGGCATTTGCAACGCCTTTAACGTTTTCCTTGGCCCCGTTGGATGGATGAACCCTGACCCCTGGTGGCACCTCTGGGTAGCGACTTCTGCACAGCTCCACGCACCGAAACGCAGTGGGGGCTCTCTCCAACGTCCCGTCCTCCTCCGCCTCCTCCTACACCCCACGTCTCAATCAAGTCCACTGGGTCCTCGATATCTAGAGGGTCCTCGATATCTAGAGGGTCCTCGATATCTAGAGGGTCCTCGATATCTAGAGGGTCCTCGATAAAGAGGCCGAAAACCTCTTCCCATCTGGTACCAGCCGCAAAAGCACAGAGCTCTACGATTAATAAATTAGTTACTTTGGGCGTAGGTGTCTGTACGGATGTTGTGGTGGCGCTGTGGTTTGCCCGCTGCCCCTAACCACGGCAAACATCAGTGGCGATGTTTTATCCGAGGTTGCCCCCCCCCCACCAAACACTACCCCTCCCCCAATCCTCCACCAACCCACATAGCACAGTGTATTATGTTAAATTTCTTTCGCACCGTACGTAGCAAACTGTGCTAATCGGAGGTGCGGGGGAAGGACAACGAGATCGTGCGAGTGTGATACCAATTTTCAACTATACCCTCCGCCATCCAGACGACAGAGCCAATCAATCAAGTTGGCACGCGGGCAAACATGCCAATTGATTTGGGGGTTATTCAGCGAGCCGGAGGGGTTGATATACAAGCAAAATTTCGACAATTTTGTCTCGACATTTCGCTGGAGATGACATCCAGCGTCATCAGGTTTTAACTGAAGCAATCGTATATTTTTTAAAAAAACGTAAACAACTCGAATCGGACAACCCGACGGATACAAATCTGCATGTAGACCCCTCCAATCTCAAATGACCTGCCGAGTCCATCCCATCTTTAGATTGGTGCCAGGTCAGAGGTTTATACCTCCAAGATAAACACCTTGCAGTCGGTGGATTTGAACAATAACCGCATTTCGACGCCTTCCCAAATGTACATGCATATCAAATATCCACTGCTGGATGAAGGTCTGCCTATACTACGTTGATCATTGGGATTATTTAACCAAACTACCACACGAGTCGGTGTGGTTTGATCGGTGGAGGGGGGGGATAATCCTGGAAGTGGTTCAGATGTCAGTCGCCACCGAATGGGAGCCGTGGCTGGGAATTGAACTCTCTTCTGCGAAGTTTGCAGCACGGCGGCGGCTACCCACACCGCCTTCGTATCTCGTACGCCCAATGGGAGATTGACAGCGATAACAGAACTCAGTTGCGTTGAATTTATCTGATGCAGCACACGTGCCCAACAGCGATGTGCGGGATAACGCAAAAGCGCGCTCCGAATGCGCTCGGTTTTAATTTTGCATGGGAGTCGTCGGCGGTGTGGCGCGGGGCTTGTAAAGAAATTCACATCACACACGCAGACAAACACCGGTCTCTCACACGGCGACTAAAAAGTCCAGACCGTTTATTATTGTGTACACGTCGCTAAATGAAGAATTGTCAAGGGGACAATGTTCATGACACTTTCGCGCAAAAACTGTCGTCGTAAAGTTTCTTGCTTTAATAGCAATAATTTAACCAAATAATATAATTTTGTTAAATCAAGCAATTCCTGATTCTCAAAACTCATCATCAGTAAAGTCCTGAACTTTGCCACGTTTGGCGAATTCCACTAATTTATTTTAAAATATAAACACTCCAGTCGATTATCTTTACTTCGTCTTGTGCTTTCTTTTCTTGGCAGTTTTGGCCGAGCGTTCATCGCTCCGGGCGACGCTCTTCTCCTCCGAAGAGCGTTCCGGTTTGGGCTCATTCGTCTCTCCCGCCGGTGAGCCTCGCCTCTCCCCATCCTGCCGCTCTCTCGCTCTTTTTTTCTTCTTCTTCTTTCTCTCAGACCTGTCCACCACCACCACCTCCTCTTCCGCCACCTCGTTATTGCTACAGCAACCATCCCCAACACCATCAGTCCCATCTCTGGTATCCAACACATTTTCCCCACCACCAGCACCAGCAGCATCACCATCACCACCGGCACCGTCACTCTCAGACCTCACCGCGGACTCATTCCGCTTGCTCTTCTTGCGTGGCTTCGCGCCGTCACGGTGGCCGGCGTCCCGCGCCGCCGCCACCGGCGCCACGGCCGTTCCAGTGTCGTCCGGAACGATGCCGTGGCCGGGGGACCCTTTCTGCCTCTCGTGCCTCCTTTTCTTCGGTCGGCTTCGCACGTCGTTGTCGCCGCCGACTCCCGGCTCTTCCGTCCCGGGCCCCGGTCCGCCCGCGTCTGCGTGGTCGTTGTCGTCCGGCCGCTCGCGTTTGGACTTCTTCCGTTTCCCGCCCCTCTTCAATCCCGCTCCGCACGCAGCCGCAGTCGTCGTCACCGTTGCCGCCGCCGCCGCCGCCACGGCGTTGTCGCTCGCCGGTCGGGGCGACCCTTGGTCGGCACGCGCGCTGCCGCGGCCCCCCCCCCCAGCGGCTCAGGAACTCGCGCTCCTGCTGCTCCAGCCTGGCCAGCTTGGCGCTCATGTTCACGCCGTGACGGGCGCCCCTGCGAGACGGGAGGGGGGCAGAGACACATGTGGCAAGCTTGGGCAAGGTTGGCGTCACTTTCAAATCGTCGGGCAACCAAGCAAATGCACACAAATAGGATTCGGACACCGCTGTCGATAACGCTTGGCTGTAATCCTCTCCAACATTAGTTTTTTTTTCCTCCGAAGTGTTTAAATGAAGCTCATGGTGGTACCCCGGGGTACTATGGTACCCCGGCTCTCGCATAATGTCCGTGATGCGGTCATTTTTAGTCTGTTGATGGTCGGCGATGCGGCAATCGACTCATCTCAACGAGCTGTACACTACGATGCACCGTGGTGCGTACGAGCGTTCAGGGTTTCAGCGGAATCGTCCTCGCTGCGTTTCGACATCGCGGAGTAGCACCGATTTCGGATTGATTGGTACCCCAGCCGCGGAGTTAAGTAACACCCCTGGAGAAAAATTGTGTCCCAGAAATAAAACATTTAATTGCCTCGGCCATTTTCTATTATTTGGTACCCCGGGGTACCGCCATAAGGATCAAATAGCGGTATCGAAACAAATGGTCCTTTGTGCCCGGTTTTTTTTTGTCTCCCAGGTGTTGGGCAAAGTCCTTGATGAACGTCGCTGCTTTTCAATATAGCCAAGTCCTGAACAGCAAAGGGTGGTGGCACGTATCGGATCATCTTAACGACAACGAAATCTCCTGCGCATCCACGCATTTTTAACGTTAGAAAGCGTTCACAAATGCCCGGAATCTAACGTCCGCTTTTTAAAATTGTAAATTCGACATCATCTCGGGTAGCAAACGCCGCACCCGGCCCCGCCTCTGCCAACTCACTTGTGTGCCGTCCTCCCGCCGCACGCTCTCAACAGCTGTTCGTCCGTCATCCTGCGGAGCGAGACGGCGAGGACGTTGGAAGTGGCGCCGATCGCAAACAGCGAGCGGCACGAAGGCGACGCAATCAAAGTCGCCCGTCACGGACGACGCAAGCCGGACGCAAATCAAACAACGCTCCCGATGCAGTGCTCTCATGATTACAGCCTTTGTCAATCCACTGCTGGATGAAGCCCCCCACCCCACGCCCCCGCCCCCCCCCATGTAAGTGGTGGCAGTTAGGTCGTACTTCATGGAAGTCGGTGAATGGGGGAGGCTCGCACCAGTTCAGATAATCGCTCATGTTAACAGGCGGTCAGGTATGGGACTTAGAGGTCACTGGATTCGTAGCGCAGTGCATTCACCACGGCTCCAGCTCCATCGTATCACGTAAAGTGTGAATTAGCAAAGTTGATCATTATCCCTTATCTAACCAGAAGATGCAGAAATGTATTAAGTCGATTCTTATGCTACAATGCAAGCATCAAATCGTGAAAGGATCAATTACTTTTAAAGTAAATTCTAAGTGAATGTTACCTTGAAGCTAATGGAACGACTGAGACCACAAGCACCAAGGCAATGCAAACTAGACGGTGAAGTACAACTTAAAGACGATAATTCGGCAAAAAAATCTAAACCGCCGTTCGTGGGCCACGCTTCGATCTCATGACGGAACCAAGGCCAAACGCGGGTAGGGTCTACCAGGGGACAAGGCCTGAGGCTGTCAACAAGGTGCACCTATCCTGGCACAAGCACCGTGATGACGTCACCTCCCTAGTGCGTTTACTGTCGAATGAACGAAGAGAGCACCTATCCTGGCACAAGCACCGTGATGACGTCACCTCCCTAGTGCGTTTACTGTCGAATGAACGAGGAGAGCACCAAACCTGGTGGTGGATGACAGGTCGAGTTTGGCGTCCTCATCCTCCGAGCTGCTGGTCTCATCCTCCGAGCTCTCTTTCTCATCGCGCACCTCCTCTCCCGAAGTCAGCGTAGCGGCCTGCTCGATGGCACGGGTGCGGCGAGAGACACACGTCACGCACCGCCTGGAAGGGTATAACTTCACCATCGTCGTCGTAACCACCGGCGGTGATCAATCTACATTATAAGGTCGCACTCATTACACGCAAAGTGCTTGCCACAAATGAACCACAATGACCACATCACCCCGTGTTGGCGAATGGCCCACGCACGGAAAGGGCACATCCCAGAGGTATCTCTTCGTCGTCACGCAACTCCTCTGGTCCACACCTAGAGGGCAGCACTTGCTCGCCCGTACATGAGACTAATGTTCGTTGTGCGTCTGCCAAACCGGTGTGCAGAACCAAACTAAATGCGATGGGATTTTTCCGTGCGGTCATAAGCGACCGGGTCGACACCGTTAACTGGTGCCATGGTGGCGAGATGTTCACTACCTCGCCTGGAATCAGGAGGTCGTGGGTTTGATCCCAACCCCTGATACCTGTATATTTGGAGTTTGAATGTCTCTCTCGCCGTGCTTGCGTGGATTTTTCTCCGGGTACTCCGTTTTTTCCCTCCAGAAACATGCATTTCAGAGTATTTGGCTGCTATACATTTCTACGTGACAAGCCGCATCGTTGAGCTATCGTTTGTTACCAGGTCGCTCTTGAAAAATAGCTATACAGCTCAGTGGGCCTTACCTGCCAATATACAAATGGTTTATAAATAGAAAAAAACTTGTTTTCATTAACCCGCTGCATTTGACAACAAACTCATTATACCACAGGCGGCCGAAACCTGGATTAGAACCCAGGGTCCGACCTTGCGAGGCCGACCTGTTCCACCTTGCAGGCGTCGTACCTTGACGAAGTTGCCGTAGAGTGCGTGCGTTGTGCTAAGGTGCGCCTTGCGCGGCTTCCGATTGCTGATCGGCTCCTCCGCTCCGTCACTGCGATTTCCCATCACCTTGGCACCTTCCTGCCGAGCGGCGTTCATTGCGTTCGCAGAATTAGTGGCGATAGGACTCCGTCGTCACAACCATTTTTATTTAATTTAAGCCGCCGACGGCGACTCTATCCACCTACAAAAGAGAAAAAGCTCAACTCTGACGAGAGATAAGATAATTCAGATAATTTATTCATGCCATTAGAGACAACCGTGCAATGAGGCTGTCCAAAAATGGTAACTGGGTAATTTACACAAAAATATTTACAGAGTTCACCAATTGGCTGAGCCGATAATATACATGCGGCGGAACAAATATCACGCCGACTTACACTAACATTTCATAGCTAACAGCGAACTCAACGTTTTGACCACTTCACTTAAGAGGGCGACTAAAATAAATCCTGCGACTAAAATTTCGTCTGTCGTCGTCAGCGACTCGAATCAAAACTAAAAAAAAATAAACAAAAACGCCGACCAAATAAAAACGGTTGCCAAGGGAAAGGCCACAGTTGTGGCCAGCGAGGCGCTCATAAAACAGGGCGGATGGGTAAGGTCAAGCGCAGACCAAAGCAAAGTTCACGGAGACGAGTCTGTTAAGCTGGACCGCCGCCCAACCGTCCTCCCCCCCCCCCCCCGTCACGCGAACCAGGTGGCGAGACGTTATCTCCCTCAACCCCCGACGCTTCTTATTTTTTTTGGAGCTCGCATGTTCTCCCCTGCTGTAAATTCCCACGTGACGATAAGCCCCTTCGCTGAGCTACCATTTGTGGCGAAGTCGCATCTGAAAAAGAGCTACAAATATATAGCTCAGTGGGCCTTACCTGGTAATCGTTTCGTTTTAGATTACCTCTGTGCCCTCCACCTCGATGCTGGCCGCTGCCTTGTTGAAGACGTGGTCCCACCAGTGGAAGGTGAACTGCTCCGCCATGTCATGGCCGATCTGCGCGCATGCACACACAGCATCGCCGGCGAGTTGCAGAATTCTGCCGCGGGTGGGTAAAGGGTTTGGGCTCTCCAAGGGTCAGTGAAGTACGTTCAGAAAGCTTTCACGACGGGACGGATGGGTAAGATGGATGGCCTTTATTTATGATCAAGTAGTTTGAATGATGAGAACAGAAGTCTATCGTTTTGCCCACCCCCCAACGAAAATACCTGGTTCAAAATAAGGCCACCAAATAGCAAACAAGCTCCAGAGCGTTCAAATAAAAAAAACAATTAAACCATTAATTAGCGAAACGAAAGCAACGGCGAGTTAAAATACGCAGAATAACAAAAAATAAACAGCATCAAAATTGTACGGTAAATTAAAAAAAACACGGTGTATATTAAAAATCGGGGTAATGGTGGTATAGCGGTAAGCACACTTTGCTGTAATCCCGGATAGCTGAGTCTGATTCCCCTACCCATGACTAACATCAGCGGCGAGTGATATCTGAACTGAGACTGGGACCACCCCCCCACCCACCAAAATGGTCAAGTATGGTCAAAGAACCCCTGTGACAGATGTGGTGTGAGGGGGACTTCATCCTTTAGTGTATTATGAAAGGGCTGTGCATTATGGCTTATATTGTACAAAAATATAATGCATGTACGATGAAAATTGCACTCTCAATGCCGCGTGTAATGCAAAACACTATTTTTGCATATGTATATTGAACTTCTTTTGCACCATACGTAGCCAACCATGCTAATCGGATGGCTACGTATGAGTCGCACTCTTTGTCAGGAGTGTCCTGAATTGGGCTGTTTGGCCAATTCCGTTGACAGGTGTTTAAAATGTGGCAGGACACCCACCACACATACAAAAGGGGTGATAATCGTCTCCTGGAAACTTCAGTCACACGCCCATGTGGTTGCCCCATCCGAGCACTAACCATGCGCCAACACTGCTTAATTTTCAGGATCCCAACAAGATTTGGCAAATTCAGGGCAACTATTTCGAGGTTGGGGATCAGCGCGGTAGTAATTTTCGGATTGCTTCGCTGAGCTTTTTCGATGGGCCAACTCATTCACTCGTACGCAATTACCTCCTGGAATGAAACGAAGGAAAATGGAACGAACGAATGAGCGTCACGCAAAGGGGGTGAAAACTTGGCCAGTGGGAGAAAAAGCGGCGTGGTGCGCTGCGGTGACGCGTCACGCGCCACGGTGTCAACGCGCCGGCGCCCGCGACGGCAAACGGCGTGGCGTGCGGCCGAGCGGGCGTTGACCTCTTGCCGAGCTCACCCCGGCTGTGTCGTGCTTCACCTTCACCTTGACGGCCTCGGCCCGGCCGTTCTCGAAGCGGCCCAGGCCCTTGCCTGCCTCGGGGAAGAACGGGGAATTACAAACGCGCGATCGTTTAGCAGCACACGCGGTGCTCTGCCGCAACCCACATCCTCACGGCCACACAAAGGCCGTCACACGGACGCGCTAATGTTTCACGGGCGCACGCATTCCGCCGGCAAAAGGGGGCGATTTTGGCGACGTGGGTTTTTCGCTCAATGAAAGTAACCCACGGGCGATTTTTTTGCAACTCTGCCAAATTTGGAGCGTGACGCCGGCAACACGTGCCCTACTTTTTGGTACAACACGGAGGCATTTTTGACGTCCACTGCTAAGCAGACGTTGCGTATGTTTTATTGGGATAATACACGACGGTATTAACCAGGGTGGCCGTCGAGATTGAACCGCGAACGGCTCGGCCACGGGTCAAGCAGGGTGGCGTAGTAGGCTCAACTTGTGCCTCACGGCAAGAAGGAACTGGGGCTGTTTGATTCGGGTAGTCCTTCCCGGATGGAGTTTGTGAGCTCTCCCACTGTTCTGCATGGATTTCCTTCGCCATCTTCAGCTTTCCTTCCACAGCTAAAAACATAGAATTTTGAAATTGGTGTCGGCCAAACCGTTCCATTGTAGCAGGACCCTCCTAAACGCGAGTCGTTTTCCTGGGTAAATAAGTAACTGGTTTACGTTGCGCGCTGTGCCATCTCTTCATCCAGTGTTCAGGACGCAAGATTATTTTGAACTGCAGCAGATGAAGAGTCCACGAGATAAAAGAAAATGCAAATAAACTAGTTTTCCATTAAGTCCTGGTGCAAAGTGACAACACAATGAGTGATAGAAACGATAACGACCCTAATTTAGCAACTTGCGCAACCAAGATCGGATAACAAGAGTTTTGTGCATTTTTGTTAACACAACAAAAGCAAAATTACGCAATCGTCATCGCCGAAAGAACACGACACGAGAACATAACCTTGACACTTGACGCAACCAAAATCTCTCTTCTGCTGCACAATAAATATATATTTGTGCAGCTGTTGACAGAAAATCACCCGGGGCACACATTCTAGCACAGGGGGTAAAACTATACGTTTTTTTAAATTAACTTTCCCACTGGGTAGTACCAATGTGCTAGGATTTTTTTTTAACCGTTCTAGAACATCAATATGCTTTGCATGTGTCAATTAGATGCGCCGGGTGGTCACGAAACGAACACATTTCCACGCGAAACTCGAGCAAGGGGGGGGGGGGGGCTTATTACACTCGGCACCGGCCTTGTGCCAGTAAATGGCCTCGGGAAGTAGATACCGCAAAACTACTTCGGAGCGCTCTCCATCCGACGGCTCTTTATTCCACGCTTGGGCGGCGCATCCTCCCGACTGGCCCTGAACACTCTCCACTACACACGGCCATGAGGAGACGGCGGAACATCTTTCCATCGTCGGAGCTGTAATACACGTCCCAAGTGACGGGGTTGTTTACGTACACGGTACAGCAGCAGAACGACATCGCTGCTGCGCCGTACTTACGTGCGCCTATAACGTCCGCGCTCACGCGCCGTCGTCAAACACCTCCCCCCCCCACCCCCACCACAATGACCGGCGCGGTGAAGTATGGTTAGTGTAAAGGAGGATGAAAACAAGAATACACGTGCGAACCTCGTGTCCAGCCGTGCTTCAGCATCTGCGCCTCGGCGAAACGACGACCAGAGCCGCTCTCCCGTGTCTCCATTGCACACACCACCCCCCGCCTCCTCCTCCTCCCCCCACCGCTCGTCTCCGGTGTGCGAACCTCGTGTCCCTTCTCCTCTGTCTCGCCGCGTCCCTCTTTGTATCCCCCGGGGGCTCCTACGACAGGGCCCCGGCCGCACTGTACCACGCCGGCTCCACGTGGAGAGGGGAGGGGGTTGAAACGGTGACGTGCGCCGGAACAGAAAGAATCGATTCCTGTTTGTTTTTGTTTAAAGTTAAATCGAAATCGATTCTCCAGACTCCGTTGACGTGCAACGCAATAATTTTTTTTGAAGTTTAAAGTGGAATCGTTTCTGCGGTGTCGATTTGTAATCGCGCGTTGGGTCAATTAATCTTGAGTGACTTAATTATTGCGTTAATGAATGCTGTGCGTGGCACGGCCGTCTTGGCAATCAGCTGCTGCTTGAAGGCTTCCCCACGCGGTGCCGGACGGTGCCGGACGGGCAACTCTGTCGTGGACAGCGCTGTGGGGGGAGATCCAATTTTGATTGGCTCCTCCCCTCATGGCATATGTGTCCACCACAGGGGCTAAACGGGGGCTCTGGACGGGTGCGAGGGGCTGGTAACCCCTCCACCTTCAATTAATTACCACGAAACTACGAATTAAACTGAAATATGTAACAACTAAGCTTGTGCCGGAGGCCCCGGGGGCCAGGCGTCTATGACGTCTCCTGGCCAAACCCCAATTGGCGGAGCCAGGAGATTGAATACCTACCCTCGGGGCTACTCCAGAAACAACGAAAAGCCACTACGGTTGGCCACGTGGAATGTTCGAACGCTCACTGCAGAGGAGAGGCTGCCACTCCTCTGTCGGGAGCTGGACCGGTACCGCCTGGATCTATGCGGCATTCAGGAGGTCCGGTGGACCGGCTCTGGCTCCTGCCACCATGAGGGGTGGACAGTCCTCTACTCGGGGCAGCAGACTGCCAAACAACAGGGTGTGGGTCTTCTTTTGAACAAAAGAATGAAGGGGGCGTGGGAGCGTGGCGGTGAGGTGTGGGAAGCTGTAAGCCCCAGGCTACTTTGGGCTCGCCTTCCCATCAACCGGAGGCGAGGAATGGTGGTCGTGGTTACTTATGCCCCCACCGAAGATGAACATCCGTGGAGGGATGCAGGCAAAGCCGATGAGTCAGATGCCTTCTATGACCTCCTGTCACAGGTGCTGGCTAAAGTGGCCCCTCGGGATAGAGTCATCATGTTGGGTGACTTCAATGCCCGAGTTGGTCATGATACTGGCACCTGGTCTGGAGTGATTGGAGGGCATGGGCCAGATCAGCTCAATAACAACGGTAGGAGGCTGCTAGATTTTTGTGCAGCCCATGGGCTTGTAATTACCAACACGCTGTTCCGGCATCGGCGCATCCACACAACATCATGGATGCATGCCGGGTCCAAGCAAGAACATCTGCTGGACTACATAGTGACGGACCAGCGAATGCGAGCCCATGTCCTTGACACCAGGACCTACCGTGGAGCTGATCTGCCCTCTGACCATCGACTAGTCATCTGTAAGATGCGCCTGCCATTCTTCCACTCCGGTGGTGGGTGTACACCCAGGACCCCATTCCAACCTAAAGTGGCCTGGTCTCAGTTATCTGATGAAAGTTGTAAGCGAGAATTTCATCATCGCTTGCGGCTGGGATTGGCATCGTCCCCGACTCCTCCTGATGTCGAGGGTAAATGGGCGAGGTTTAGGACTGTGACTCATGCAGCTGCAATGGCTGCTTTGGGTACGCGGTCCAGACCTCCCCAGACACCCTGGATGACAGAGGAGTTGTTCACGATGGTTGAGAAAAAGCGACAGGCCCACTGTCATCGGCTACAGAATCCCACGTCAGAGAATGAGGAGGCTTACCGCAGCCTTCGCTCGGAGGTTCGGAGAGCCGTGAGGCGCTGCAAGGATGGGTGGTGGTCGCGGGTTGCTGAGGAGATGGAGTCTGCCTCAGTGGCCCGTGATCACAAATCTCTATTTAACTCCATCAAAAAAGTAACCTGCAGCGCCACACCTATTACCATCATTAGGGGAAAAAACGGTGATCCAATTTCCGACCCCCAGGAACAGGTTCGCAGATTTGCTGAGTATTTCTGTGAGGTCCTGGGGGAGGGAAAATCCCTCAGCCAGGAAAACATCATGGCACAAAGTGAGGATGACCCTGCTGAGGCTGCGGTGCCTCAAATATTGGATGAAGTCACCCCCTGTGAGTGGCTGGCTGAGGTGCCATCTGCTGAGGAAGTATTGAAGGCGATCCGGAGTCTGAGACCAGGAAAGGCAGCGGGCAGAGATGATCTCCCAAGCGAAATGCTGAGGGAGGGTGGCGTTTGTGCACAGACTGCCCTATATGACATCATAACAACAGTCTGGACCACTGGACGGGTTCCGCAGGATTGGAAGGATGCCCTGGTGGTCCCCTTTTTAAGAAGGGGGACCGCACAGACTGTAACAACTACAGGGGCATCTCACTCCTCAGTGTGCCGGGAAAGGTCCTGGCAAGGATTATTCAGCATCGCCTTGCCAGGCACGCTGAGGAGAGGCTTGCGGAGCCCCAATGCGGTTTCAGGAAAGGGCGGTCTTGCACAGATGCCATATTTTCTGTCCGTCTGCTACAGCAGAGGTGTAGGGAATTCCAACAAGACCTACATCTCTGCTTTATTGACCTGGTCAAGGCCTATGATACCATCAGTAGGCCTGGGCTCTGGGTCGTTCTTCGTGCTTTTGGAGTACCTGACCCTCTGCTCACGATCATTAAGGACCTTCATGATGGTGAGCGGGCCCGGGTAAAACTACGTGGCCGGGAGTCAGAGCCATTCCCTGTACACCTTGGGGTGCGACAGGGATGTCCTCTGGCTCCCACATTATTTAACATCTATTTTGACCACGTAGTTCGTGAAGCCTTCAATAGCTGTACCGGGGGAATCTCCATATGGTACAGATATAATGGGAGGCTAATCGATGCCCGGGTGCGGTCAAGGGATGGCTCCCTATTGCTCAACCACGTTATGTATGCTGATGACTTGGTAATAGCTGCTCAGTCAGAGGAGGAGTTGGAGACGCTGCTGCTGAGACTGGAGCGTGCCACTAAGAGGTGGGGCCTTACCATCAGCCCCACCAAAACTAAGCACCTGCCTGGGTATTTTGTACCATCGGACACTCCACCCCCACAACTCCCAATCGGTGATGGGGCAGTTGTGGAGAGAGTGGAGAGTTTCCCATACCTGGGCAGTGTGCTTATGACTGGCTCCAGTTTAACAGCAGAGGTCTCACTCCGAATCAGTCGAGCGGCAATATCTTTTCATCGGTTGCGTAACGCTGTGTGGAAGCTACCTGGTCTGTCGCTCCGCACTAAGCTTCAGGTCTTCTCGGCCACGGTCATTCCCTCCCTTCTCTACGCTTGCGAAACGTGGACCCCCCTAATGGAACATCTTCGCCGGTTAGAAACATTTAGGCTGGCCTGCCTACGATCCATCCTGGGTTTAACCAGACTGGATTGTGTGAGGAGCTCACAAATCCTTGAAAGATCTGGGCAGGGTCCCATCGGTGAGCTCCTCCGGCAGGCAAGGCTGCGATGGCTGGGTCATGTAGCCCGCATGCCCAGCCACCGCATGCCGAAACAGCTTTTGTTTGGCCGGATTGAGGGGGCTAAGCGGGCGCGGCACGGGCTAGAAAAGAGATGGAGTGATGGACTTGCCGATGACTGGTACCAGCGGTGTCAAGATCGGCCTCTGTGGAGGAGGCTCGTGAAGGATGCTACTGGGCAGTTGGAGGCAGTCGCCCTCCAACAACAACGGAGGGCGGAAGAGCGACGCTCACAACAGCGAGCGGAGCGCCGGGTGGCTAAAGCACAGCAGGTTGGCACAGTAGGGGGCACAGGTGGTGCATCAGCCAGTCATCTCAGTCAGTCGACCCGTGGCACCTGGGTCTGCCCCGTGACCTCCTGCCAGCGGGCGTTCGACACTTCACGTGGCCTCAGGGTGCACATAGCCTGGCACAAGCGTCGTGGTGACGTCACCGCCACTTAGTGGCGAATGGCGGTTGTTGTTGGTATTGACCATACTTCACCACGCTGGTCAGTGCGGGTTTGTGAAGGCAGGGCGCATAGGAGTATAGCACAGGATAGTTAAACAGTATATTTGTTTGCATGCGTTTAATTAAAAACGTACTATTTATACCATTTCAAGTAAGGTAATATTATTAATGTAGTTTGGTGCGGTATTTACAAGTGCATTGGTCACGTGTGGTTTCAATTAACTAGAGAATATTAAAAAAAAAATTGATTGTTTCACTGATTTTTGTCGTCAAAGGAGAAATCTTTTTACGGAAATATTTCGCGTTTCCCCCAGCCCCAACAGTGAATACAGAACACCGAATTCGCATTTATTAAATTAGACCGAGAGGTATTGAATATGACCATGAAATACGAATCTTGCTGATCCACTTGCCTAATACGTCCATAGTCGATTAATCGCATTACAATTCGACAATTCCACGTGCCTCAGTTTTAATCGATCAGACTAATTTGACCTACGGTTAAACGTACATACAGTCAGTTCCAACTGCATTAATCAAATGTTTATTTGGTACTTGCGGTACAGGGATTCAAAATTTTGCCGCCAATTTTTGCTCCGCATTACTTAAAAAATGTTTACCGACCCGACTTTATTCCTTTTCATCCGTGTTCATGAAATGAAATACACGTATATATTTATTTTTTAAAAATACATCTTAATTCCTTAGTACTGAGAAGGTAAATACATTGTTACAAGGGTAAGTACTGTGTAGGAAATACATATTTTTTGTCACGAATAATCTGGCCACCGTCATGGCAATGTGGAATTTCCACTAATTACTCAGGCACCCATGGCAATGAACGTCAATTACTTTCTTCGTGAGTAAAACGTTGACTTACATTGCTAATATTAGCCTGGGGTAATAAATTACGCAAATATTACTGAGGCAATAAAGTACTGCATAAAATTACTCATTGGTTTTTTCGATAAAGTCACGTATGTAGAAATACAATAAAATAATATTAAAACAAAAACCAATCACGACTTCTTTGGTTCTTTCGGTAAAGTCACGTAGAATGAGAATAAAATAATAAATTGATAAAATAAAATAACAAAATAATATTCTCACGACGTTTCGGCCACAACACAAGCGGCCTTCATCAGGTGAAGGGACGAGACTGTCTGGAGGACAGCGCTGGAGTGAAAAAAGCCACGCTCAGATCGCGACCTTTAAGCTGTGTGAGAAGAAACAAAGCGCCTTGGCTTGTGTTGTGGCCGAAACGTCGTGAGAATATTATTGTTATTTTATTTTATCAATTTATTATTTTATTCTCATTCTACGTGGTGACTTTACCGAAAGAACCAAAGAAGATGAATCCTTGCAGTCACGAAAGCTATAAATCGAAACAATCACGACGTTTCGATCACAACGCAAGCGATCTTCATCGGGTGTCAAGACCAATTCACGGAGGTAAATACAACAAAAAGATGAGAGACGAGAATTCAACAAACCTGAATAAACATTATGTGAAGCACATCCAGTCAGACCAACAACACAGTTAGACATTACCTCCGTGATTGATTCTTGACACCCGATGAAGATCGCTTGCGTTGTGATCGAAACGTCGTGGTTGTTTTAATATTATTTTATTGTATTTCTACATACGTGACTTTACCGAAAAAAACAATGAGTAATTACTGAGGCAATTTACTCATACTGCAGTACCACGCACTATACTGTATTAGTCTGAGGTAATAATTTGCACGTAAATAGTACTCTCATAGTATCAAGTAATTGCACACATTACTCGTATAGTATGAGGTAATTGTACGCAAATATTACTCTTATAGTATCAAGTAATTGCACACACATTACTCTCACAGTATCAGGTAATTGTGCGCAAATATTACACGTATAAGGTAATTGCACGCAAATAGTACTCTCATAGTATCAAGTAATTGCACACATTACTCTCATAGTATCAGGTAATTATCGCTGTGATACGCTCTTTGTTACAGTTTCCAGGTTTCCAATTCCAAAAAATACCCACAAAGAAAATTTGTGGGTATTTTTTCAAATTTTCTTGCTGTGGTTTTCACACCTGATGACGATTGCTTGTGTTGCAGTCGAAACGTCGTGAGAATTTTATTGTTTTATATTTTTTATTATTTTATTGTTTCCCTTCTACGTGACTTTACCGAAATAACCAAGAATATAAATCAATCAGTTTCAAGGACAATGCATGTATTATCATAGTATGTTTTTTGTTTCGTTTTGACTGCAAGGTTTGTGGTTAATGCAGACATGAATCCTTGTAAAAAGGTTTCAGTTTTGTTGCCAGAAAAAGGGAAAAACCCTATTATTACATTTTGGTACTGGCAAAGGAGGTCCAATGATGTAAAAACAATGTTGCTTTAAGAAACGTGTATTAACCCGTTCAGACGTTTGCCTCCCTTTTGAGTTTCACCGCCAATCTTGGAATCGTAACAACAACAACCCTTTTGGTAAATCTGCTTGTGGTTGAGGAGGGCCTTCTCAGGCCGTCGGCATCATTCGGCCATACTTCACCATGCTGGTCAAGTGTAGGTCGGTGAAGGATGGGGAAACATAGGTTGGGAAAAGAACACATCTATCAACCCATTATCAGTGCCCCCACCTTATTACAGACCAATTCAGACCTTATCGGTCACCCCGTGCCCCTTATAAAGCTCAAAGTTCATCCTGCAATTAGACAAACACAAAATGTGCACGGTATTGAAACGGCTGTACGCCGTATGGACCTGAAAACTCAATTTCCCTGGACAAGAATACGGGGTATAAACCGTATGGGTTGACACGGTATGGGGCATAGTACAGGACAACAATGTCAGCTGTAGCAGCGAAGTAGCCTATGACGTCGGTTTTTATCCAAGGACTATCCAGGCGGCTCAAACCTTTGCTTTAAGGGCGAATTTTTGACGATTTGGCCATGGTCACGGATAATTTTAATGCAGGACAAAACACGTTTCCTAGTTGAATTAAAATACATGTTTTATTGTTTCGTTGCACATACTGTCATTTGTTGAGCAATGCACCGTATTTTACGTGTGAAACTGTTGTTTTCACAGTCTTTTTCATAATGGAGGATATTCAAATGAAAACGCTTAGCCCATAAATGAACATTTAACCAAGTTGAGGTCCACTGACCTTCAAACAATGATTTTGCTGGACTGTGTTCTTCAAGCCATTAACTTAATTCCAGCAAACACAATTTACGTTTTTAATTTAAATTTTTAAAAAGGAGGCTAATCAAATTAATATAATTTCGGGTAAAAATACGTACATAAATCAAGCATGATTTCTCTTAAACATAGAAATAAATGTAAACACTAAATTTTGATATAAATCTTTCGTGACTGCAGGGATTCATATTCTTGGTTCTTTTGGTAAAGTCACGTAGAAGGGAAATGATAAAATAATACAAATATAAAACAATAAAATAGTTTTATATTAAAACAATAATTTTTTGTTATATTAAAACAATTAAATGTTATTGTTTTTATTGTTTTCCTTTTACCGAAAGAACCAAGAAAAATGTAAACACGTTTATATCATTATTACATTGCTTGTGCAAAGGTGATCTCTTACATGAAACAATTAAATGCTAGCTTCCCCGCCCCCTAAATTATACACGTTCCACATCTGTAGTCTGTAAATTACACGTTGATGTACATATAAGAACATTTTTTTCATTTGTTGACTTGTTTAAAGTAAAATGCAAGTAAACTTTGTCTTACTCATGAAAAATATTTACTTTTATATTTCGTCAAATAAATGCACTTAGGATGCAGTTCATATATTTTTTACACCAAATTATTTATTTGAATATAAACTCATTGCAGGCAGTGAAATGTTTTTGTGTCATCCCGTGGGCTGTGTGCCTCCTATGGGCTTATGTTGGCGGTGAACCATTCGCCAATCCGTTTCTCGTTCTCTGCACGCCATTTGATATTGGCCTTGGTGCGCTCCAGGGCCTGCTCGAGCGCTCGTGTTCCGGACCCGAAGCCGACTTCGTGGTTGTCGGCCTTGAACTGCTCCAGCTGAGGAGAGGCGAGAAGGGAGAGGTGAGCTCAATCGGGTGAAGATCATTTGAGGCTCAACCGGTTGCGTAGCATGGGGCCCTGGTGACAGGAATTAAATGGAGGGGGGGGGGCCCTCTCCAAATTCTCGCCTCTTCGTTGCCCAGTGCTTCGGCCCCTCTGGCCCTTGGGCACCTGTGCAGTTGCACCACCTGCACACTCTATCGCTACACCACTGGGTTCAACGGAGGCAAATTGTTATTTAAAGCATTCCCAACAGCAATTATTCCTTTTTCTGTTCTCACTGCACCTCTAAAATAATTCACCGCGTACATAGTGTACGTACCCACTCATACGCACAGTGCGTGCATGCACGCACGCAATTAATAACATTGATGGGTATTTTATGAAACCAATTCACTGTGGCTTAACGTGTGCTTTCCTCACCTGCTTGAGCTCATATTCTGTGGAGAATCGTCTCGTAACTCCTTCAATGAGGCGTGAAAAGGAAAAGGAGCCTCCTCCGTACCTGCGACCAATCAGAGGACACGCATACACATCAACACGTGAAACAGGAGCACACGAGCCTTGATCTCCGTACACCCGTCTGGCAATGAAAGTGGGATGCAGTGCGCATGAAGTTGAACTTACTCGGTGAAGATGTACTTCCAATTGGCTCGGATGAAGTCCCAAGCCAGAGACTGCCCCACAACGTTTCTGGCAATCATCACGATGGTATTGGTTGCGTCCTGTTTCCGAATCTTTGTGGGGTCCAGAGTGTACTCTAGAAACCTGCACAGTGCACACAAGGACGAGGATCTATGAGATAGCAGTTTACTTTCAAACGTATGCATCATCACTACTCCATAATACAGGTTTGTTTTATATATTTTTTTTATCAACGGTTATTGTAAACTTTAAACCAGGAGAGTTAGTTAATATAACATGTCCTTTTTTCCTGGGAGTCATTGTGCTTACAAAGCATAATGTAATATAATACGAAGACATTTAAAGAAAATTAAAAAAATGTGCAAAAATAGATTTAAGCTTCCTACATTCTGCAGACACCTCACTGCCCTTGCTAATGGTTGTCGAGTATTTGATTATCTACACAATTGAATACTACACAACTGATAAAATATCTGTATTTATCAGCTAGGTCTACTGCCACTATCACATTTTAGCCCAGGAATTGCATGAATTATTGGTAATACATAGTAAAAACACTGACAAAAGGAATCATTCTCAGATTTAAATAACTGTTATTTCGATCACTTGCAGAATAAGCATGTTCTTCCTTTGTATGATTGGAATGTTTTTTTTTCCACTGCACACTCCTATTATCCCATACTGGAAAAAAAAGCCTCTGGGTATTCACTAAACATCCCGGACAGGGATATCTTGAAAAACATTGTTGGGTTGACATGTGTAGTTGACGCATCCCGGGTTAATAAACGTTTCCGAGAGATGTCAGAAGAATCTACGTGTATGTTGACAGCACCGGTTGAGGATCCAGGTCTCCTCACTGCAAGCTAGTGCATCCCGGAGTTTATCGGCCTCCGTGGCGAGCGACGTCTCCTTGAACATCTTCCAACCAAAGTCCCACTCCGCCTGCCCACCCGCTGCTATCGCCGCGCAGTACACCGTCGACTTGAGGTTCGCGTGGATACTGCACACCGCGGCCACGTGGGCACAAACAAAAAAGACTGTGTGATAAATATTCACTATACCAAAATTCATTTGTCTTGAAAGCTATTCAGTTGTCGGTACAGAAGATGTCAGAACATTATGTGTTTTCGGGAGAGGTCCACATTTTTCAATTCTTTTTTTATTTATTCGGTTTGAAAGGATTATATATGCCAACAAACAAAAAGTTGCATTTTTAACCATTTCAATGGTTATTTTAACAATAAATTGTTTTAATTTAAAACATACATAGAAAAAACAAACAAGCATTTACATTTGGTACCGCCTCATATTATAAATTGAATATTAATTTCTTTAGAACTGCTTTTTGTGTTTAGTTTTTTTCCCCCCCGCACCTCCGATTAGCACGGTTGTCTACGCACGGTGCTAAAGAAGTTAAACATACATACATTCATGCTCTTTGGTTCTTTCGGTAAAGTCACGTAGGTATAAAATAAAATAAATCACGACGTTCCGATCGCAACACAAGCGACCGTCATCAGGTGGAACAGATACAGCAGAACTGCTGACATAGGAGAAAGAGCTGCTGCAACAAGAGTGTATATAGGATTTTGGTGGGCTCAACCCAAGGGTAAGTGGGCGGAGCTAGAGAAGGAACTTGCACGTAAATGTGAGAGATTAGCATGCCAATGTCAGACGGGCCCAGCCACCGGAGGTGGCGGGGATCCTCCTGTGGCTCGGCCGCCTCATAGATATTAAAAATGGTGATGTACTCAAGAGAGTCGGAAATAACAGCTGACATAGGTAGGTATGATGGAAACATCACAGTAAGTTAAGACTTTAGCTGGTTAATAACGTCCTTCCAATGATTGCTCAGTGTGTACCCATCTTCTCGGTTGAAGTTCCACAATCAATCTCTGAATTATTGTTTTTTTCCCACATCTCGGCTGTAAATTCTACTAATATTACCATTCCAATATTGTAGTCTTATCACAATGTTTGTAGAATGTCTGGACTGCTTTTCAGTATCATTTACATATACTAATATAAACATATTCAAGTTTTAATTATATTTAAAAATTGTATTAGGCCACTTTGTACATGCTGTCTTCATGAAAAACATTGTGTAAGTTACTTGACATTAAATTACAAATTAGCCGTTGGATTTATTAAAAAAATGTATAATAAAGATGGAGCTTTGTGAGTATTACATGACTTACATGAAGTTGGAATTGGTCATCCATGCATGGTAGATAGCAATTGCATTCTGCTGACAAGGTGCATGGTTGTTGGAGCATGCGAGTGAGATAGCGTTGACTTGGTTATATCTGCACACCGAATGTTGTGGGAAATGAAAAGTACGAAAGGCACACAACAGGCATCATTGCATGCAAATACTTACATTTACTAACATCACAATTTTAAATGTTTGCTATTTTTATTGAAATGTAAAAGTTGTATATTGGCACTTCAAACTAAATAAAAAATTTGGTCATAATTTAAAGGTAAACAATTTACTTGTCAGTACAGGTTCTTGAAGCAAAAAGTCCTTTCATTCACATTCATACTCTGTGCACAGTACTGTTCATCATGTTTCCAACTTCTGAGCTTAATTCTGAAGAGAAATTGCACATACTATATCTGCCAGCACAGACACAAAGTAATGTTATACCTTTAAATTAATATTAACTTTAAAGTTTCAAACTTTTTGTTATTTTGCTGCCAGACTTGCTTGCATGTACTGTTTGCAAGTGTGGCTGAGAGGTTTGCAACTCACTGGTCGGCATGCCCTGGTGGGACATCGTTCCAGTTGCTGCTCACAAGCTCATCGTAGTAAATGTACAGCGGTAAGACTTGCTGCAGGATGTATTTCTGCATATGGACCGAGAGTTTTCATACGAAATAGGCTCATCAACATTAACATTCCAAGTCGGCTGAAAAACCCACATTTACAAAGAGCTGAATTGGCTGGCTTTTACTATTTACAAAAATCGATGGCATTAGCAATGCTTTTAGATTTAGCATTTATTCAAAGGCTATTTACAAAATAACCATTCACATCAGCTACACTAAGACTGTATGAAGAAAGTATAAAAATGCATATTAAATAGGTCGTTGGCCAAAGTGATACTCTTATGCCCAATTTATTCACAGAAAAATTAAAAGGAAAATATTTTCCAATTATTCGATTAGAAAAACAAAGGCATCTACATTTATGGAGAAAATATTAATAATCTCAGATTTGCTGAAAACATTAATTAAGTGAAATGAACTACAGGAAATGTTATAAGGGCCTCATAAGAAAAATGCAACAAAAATTTGGGTTCAGGATAAATGGCTAAATGTCACATGTAATGAGTTTGCAAAATAGTTTGAGATGTCTTGAGATATACACGAGTGCAAAACGCAGAAGGATATATGTGTAGTGACGTGGAATTAGTGACTGGAGCGCGTGCCACTGGGAGATTGGCAGACAGTAGAATTAGGGGTAACAGCCCGTTCTACCAGTTGAACCTGTGGGCAAGACACGGAGCAATCTGCGGGATCCAGACGAGTGTGGGGCCGAGGGTGGAGCCTGGCCACGCTGTTCAGGATATAAGGCGAGCTCCGACTCACAGTCGAGGCTGCTATGATGGGGATTGGAACTGGTCATGCTGTTGGCGTCGTGATCTTCGCCACTCTGCAAGCCGTGGGTCTGGCAACATTCTGGCTGTCCCGACCTGGTATGGAGTTATCCCCGAAAGCTGTGATGGCCGGAAATAAAAGAGAGAGACTACCTCCAACTAGTGTCTCTGAATTAGCACACTATATCTGTGTAACTGGTACAGCTATTGAAAGTGGACCATCATTAAATGTATCAAATACATGACTGAGAGTGGATGTAAGTGCGTTTGTGAAGATAAACTCGATAAGGAAAAGCAATGTATCAATGTGCCTAACTAATCATTTGTTTATCATTGCCTTCCGATAGCTTTGACTTGTGGATCACAAACAAGGTCATCCACAAAGAAAATGGAACGAACTGAAAATTGCACAAAGAACCGCAGAGGGATACTTTCTTAGAATATGAAGACATGGATTGGAGAGAATATAGAAGTTAAAGATATCCGATTTGTTAAGAAAAGTGAATTTTGGCAGAATACATCCCCAGAAGGGTTGATGGCTTATGATCAAGAAATATTATGGAGTGGAAGCGAAGACAGGGAGATAGATCAATGAAATTATTTCATGTGTTGGTGCTAGGTGTATCCAGCTGTGGACCGATCAGGACTGATGATGACCTTAGGGCCATGGCATTTAGGGCAAATATTGATATTTAGTCTAATTTTAACCTTTTTACCAAGGACATATATTTGTGTCTTGAAATGTGATTGAAATTCAATACTTTCTGAAACCAAACTACAGTAAATTGTATAAGAAACCTGAAAACTATTTCTATATGAGTGTAGTAAAATGAACAGACTTTCGCACTCCTATATTTTACCTGTATGTATTCTAACATTATTTAATTGAACCAGCACGGACACCCATATTCATTAATTATATGAGCGTTCGTGTCCATACGTCTAACATGGGTGCTCACATTGACAGTGTGTCCGGTTTATTATTTCAAGCTTTATTTGCATGAAGACAATATTTAGCCCATTTCTAGTGTAGCTTTGCATGCTGTAAAAAAAAATTAGCTAGCGGGGAGTTTTTTTATATTTTGTATTCTTTTTAGGGGTGTCCCAACAAAAACCCAGTTATCTGCATGACATGGTATGTCTGCCCATGTTATTTCGAGAACACATTGTTCCTAACACTGTTGTACATGTTCATGTATTGTACATGCGCTGATGCTTGCATCAGTCGGCATCGGATGCTTGCGTGTGTTATACCTGCATATTCCCGAATACCGCAGAGCGGTCAAGCATCTGCTTGAAGTAGGAAATGCTGGAGATGGTCGCCTGCCAGGGCTGGTACTTGCGCTCATCAATCAGGTAGAGTGTGGTGTTCAGAGCCAGCTCCACGTCTATGTGTTTTGCCCTGCAGTGGGTGGGTAGGAGGAAGAGGACAATGAAATCATATTCTGGATTAGGTTTGCTTGTAGTTGCATAAGTTTTGTCATCCATTTCTGTCTCTTAAGTTCAATTCCAAGCCTGCACCTCTCCATGCTTTGTGCAAAGCCAAGAGAGATGGCAAACAGCTTGGAAGCTTTCATCCAGTAGTGAATAGATCATGGGTGATAATGATGACTATGTACACATTTATTATGCAGCTTTATGTGCTGCAACTGGGCTTCTTGTTACCTTGTTGTTGTTCTCACCTGGCCAAGTTAAAGGCATCGTCAATGATTTGTGCTCTGTTGATCACGGGTATCATCTGAAAATAAAATTAAATCAATTGTGAAATGTAGTGTACAGCTCAGAAGAGTTCATCTTAAATGTCACCATTCCTCTGTATTTTTCTCATTTGAAATATATAACGTACAGTGAGGGAAAAAAGTATTTGATCCCCTGCCGATTTTGTACGTTTGCCCACTGACAAAGAAATGATGAGTCTATAATTTTAATGGTAGGTTTATTTCAACAGTGAGAGACAGAATAACAACAAAATCCAGAAAAACGCATGTCAAAAATGTTATAAATTGATTTGCATTTTAATGAGGGAAATAAGTATTTGACCCCCTCAATCAGAAAGATGTCTGGCTCCCAGGTGTCTTTTATACAGGTAACGAGCTGAGATTAGGAGCACACTCTTAAAGGGAGTGCTCCTAATCTCAGCTTGTTACCTGTATTAAAGACACCTGTCCACAGAATCAATCAAGCAATCAGATTCCAAACTCTCCACCATGGCCAAGACCTAAGAGCTTTCCAAGGATGTCAGCGACAAGAGTGTAGACCTACACAAGGCTGGAATGGGCTACAAGACCATTGCCAAGCAGTTGGTGAGAAGGTGACAACAGTTGGTGCAATTATTCGCAAATGGAAGAAACACAAAAGAACTGTTAATCTCCCTCGTGGAGTTGCAATGATCATGAGAATGGTGATGAATCAGCCCAGCACTACACGGGAGGATCTTGTCAATGATCTCAAGGCATCTGGGACCCTAGTCACCAAGAAAACAATTGGTAACACACTATGCCGTGAAGGACTGAAATCCTGCAGCGACAGCAAGGTCCCCCTGCTCAAAAAAGCACATATACATGCCCGTCTTAAGTTTGCCAATGAACATCTGAATGATTCAGAGGACAACTGGGTGAAAGTGTTGTGGTCAGATGAGACCAAAATGGAGCTCTTTGGCATCAACTCAACTCGCCGTGTTTGGAAGAGGAGGAATGCTGCCTATGACCCCAAGAACACCATCCCCACCGTCAAACATGGAGGTGGAAATATTATGCCTTGGGGTTGTTTTTCTGCTAAGGGGACAGGACAACTTCACCGCATCAAAGGGACGATGGACGGGGCCATGTACCGTCAAATCTTGGGTGAGAACCTCCTTCCCTCAGCCAGGGCATTGAAAATGGGTCGTAGATGGGTATTCCAGCATGACAATGACCCAAACACACGGCCAAGGCAACAAAGGAGTGGCTCAAGAAGAAGCACATTAAGGTCCTGGAGTGGCCTAGCCAGTCTCCAGACCTTAATCCCATAGAAAATCTGTGGAGGGAGCTGAAGGTTCGAGTTCCCAAACGTTAGCCTCGAAACCTTAATGACTTGGAGAAGATCTGCAAAGAGGAGTGGGACAAAATCCCTCCTGAGATGTGTGCAAACCTGGTGGCCAACTACAAGAAACGTCTGACCTCTGTGATTGCCAACAAGGGTTTTGCCACCAAGTACTAAGTCATGTTTTGCAGAGGGGTCAAATACTTATTTCCCTCATTAAAATGCAAATCAGTTTATAACATTTTTGACATGCGTTTTTCTGGATTTTTGTTGTTATTATTCTGTCTCTCACTGTTCAAATAAACCTACCATTAAAATTATAGACTGATCATTTCTTTGTCAGTGGGCAAATGTACAAAATCAGCAGGGGATCAAATACTTTTTTCCCTCACTGTAAATAGGTTTTTTGTGTTATACAGGGTGATCAATGTATAGATACCCCTCTCACTGATTTATAATGTACAGTATGTTGAACTTTTTTCGCACCATACGTAGCCAACCGTGATAATTGGAGGTGCGCGTATTTCTGCGACAAAGCCAAGATGTATCAATTACCTCGATTTATGCATCAGTGAATGTTGTAAACAAAATAACACTGGCTGTGTTGAACAAAGTGTACCAGGAGCTTGTTAACAGATGTAATTAGTGTATTGACATTGATAGGAGACATGTAGAAGGTTTAAAAATCTGTAGATTACCCTGTCTAATGCCTATGATTGGATCAAGCCGAATGCGCCCGATCTCGTGAGATCTCAGAAGCTAAGCAGAGTTGAGTCTGGAATATGCTTGGATAGGTGACTACCTTGCACAGCAGGTTATTATAGGCTGCTGTGGGGTTATGTTTTGGGTAGCAGAGGGCAGGGCTGTAATATCCATTGGTATACTGTACTCTGTGTTCCCATGTTTATGCTCCCTGCCTTCACAACACCATACTGAGCAGCATGGTGAAGTATGGTGAAATAACTCATGACCAGGAGAGTATGTAGAGGCCTTCATTTTTCAGTGGATTCACAAAATTGTTCTACAAATACATTGTATCTTCATGTTTAGGTAAAAAAAGTCTGTTTGATTCACATACTTCGAGGTTAGTTTTCAGCTGAGCCAGCAAGCGATTCCAGTTGGCAACATCGTAGTTGACACGGTAATATCCCTCTTCATCGATGTTGAGCAGGACCCATTTGTCAGTACTCTGTAGCTCGGTAAAGGTAGACTCTGGTATCATGCAGAAACCAATGGACGGCAACAAAGACATAGGTAACAGGGACCAGTGACATTACAGCTTGCAGTTTGATCATTTCACAACTGTATGATTAAATGAGAAAATGAAAGAGGGATCCACAGCAAGTTTATCTCTATACATATATTTAAAACAGTACAATGTTGAAAGTAGAACTGGCTCACACGTAATAGTTAATTGATAAATTATTATATTCGTCGTTTTTCTATTAACATCACTTGCATTGGACAAAGTATGAATTACTCAATCCCTGTCATAGAATATTTACACAAAAATCTAAACATGATGAGAAAGTGCTTACCTTGAACTCCCAGTAACCACACAGTGTTATTGGATCCATCCTTCTTCCATGTGATGGGCACATGCCACTGGTAACTGTAAAAAATATATTGGTCATTATATTTTATTCGCATTTATAATTAAGTTTTTGCAGGACATTACTTTTTTCAAATGTATTAATATGGGATAGGTTCTCAGAGATATATATATACAATTTACCCAGTTCCCATCGGAGAATTATTTTATTGTATGCCATAATACTGTAATCATTGAAGGTGAATTTTACATTGTGAAACTATGCACCATGATAAAACATTGGCTTCAAATCTAGAACATTGGCTTACACTTGAGTTTTATAATGACAAAGATTATTTTATCTCTATGAATGTGTACAGTGAGGGGAAAAAAAGTATTTGATCCCCTGCTGCTTTTGTACGTTTGCCCACTTACAAAGAAATGATCAGTCTATAATTTTAATGGTAGGTTTATTTGAACAGTGAGAGACAGAATAACAACAACAACATCCAGAAAAACGCATATCAAAAATGTTATAAGTTGATTTGCATTTTAATGAGGGAAATAAGTATTTGACCCCCTCTTAATCAGAAAGATTTTTGGCTCCCAGGTATCTTTTATACAGGTAACGAGCCGAGATTCGGAGCACACTCTTAAAGGGAGTGCTCCTCATCTCAGCTTGTTACCTGTATAAAAGACACCTGTCCACAGAATCAATCAATCAGATTCCAAACTCTCCACCATGGCCAAGACCAAAGAGCTCTCCAAGGATATCAGGGACAAGATTGTAGACCTACAGAAGGCTGGAATGGGCTACAAGACCATTGCCAAGCAGCTTGGTGAGAAGGTGACAACAGTTGGTGTGATTATTCGCAAATGGAAGAAACACAAAAGAACTGTCAATCTCCCTTGGTCTGGGGCTCCATGCAAGATCTCACCTCGTGGAGTTGCAATGATCATGAGAACGGTGAGGAATCAGCCCAGAACTACACCGGAGGATCTTGTCAATGATCTCAAGGCAGCTGGGACCGTAGTCACCAAGAAAACAATTGGTAACACACTACGCCGTGAAGGACTGAAATCCTGCAGCACCCGCAAGGTCCCCCTGCTCAAGAAAGCACATATACATGCCCGTCTGAAGTTTGCCAATGAACATCTGAATGATTCAGAGGACAACTGGGTGAAAGTGTTGTGGTCAGATGAGACCAAAATGGAGCTCTTTGGCATCAACTCAACTCGCCGTGTTTGGAGGAGGAGGAATGCTGCCTATGACCCCAAGAACACCATCACCACCGTCAAACATGGAGGTGGAAACATTATGCTTTGGGGGTGTTTTTCTGCTAAGGGGACAGGACAACTTCACCGCATCAAAGGGACGATGGACGGGGCCATGTACCGTCAAATCTTGGGTGAGAACCTCCTTCCCTCAGCCAGGGCATTGAAAATGGGTCGTGGATGGGTATTCCAGCATGACAATGACCCAAAACACACGGCCAAGGCAACAAAGGAGTGGCTTAAGAAGAAGCACATTAAGGTCCTGGAGTGGCCTAGCCAGTCTCCAGACCTTAATCCCATAAAAAAAATCTGTGGAGGGAGCTGCAGGTTCGAGTTGCCAAACGTCAGCCTCGAAACCTTAATGATTTGAAGAAGATCTGCAAAGAGGAGTGGGACAAAATCCCTCCTGAGATGTGCGCAAACCTGGTGGCCAACTACAAGAAACATCTGACCTCTGTGATTGCCAACAAGGGTTTTGCCACCAAGTACTAAGTCATGTTTTGCAGAGGGGTCAAATACTTATTTCCCTCATTAAAATGCAAATCAATTTATAACATTTTTGACATGCGTTTTTCTGGATTTTTTTGTTGTTATTCTGTCTCTCTGTTCAAATAAACCTACCATTAAAATTATAGACTGCTCATTTCTTTGTCAGTGGGCAAACGTACAAAATCAGCAGGGGATCAAATACTTTTTTCCCTCACTGTATATTCCTTTGTTAATCCACTGCTGGATGAAAGCGTCCCCAAGCTGCCAGCCATGGGCGTTGTTTGACCATAGTACACCACGCTGGTTGGTCAGTGTGGGTTGGTGAGGCCGAACGGATTGAGACTGGTTCAGATATCTCTCGGCAGTGATGGTAGCCGTGGGTGGGAAGCACACTTCGGTAGTTGCGCAGATTTATAGCATAATGTGCTAACCACTGTGCCGCCACTCCACATCCCTCCACAGAATACTGTACAATTTCAATGTAACTCGCCAACAAAAATACCGACCATAGAAATATTGACTTATTCAAACTGACTCATTGGCTTTACCCAGAGGTCTTAATGAAAGACTTATCTGGGCTCGCTTGTTGTCTGAGGTTCATTGTATAATGTGTTCATCCTGTGAGCAGGAGCTACACGGGGATACTCACTTGAAGGGCGATGGCCGCTCAACGACCGCTTCGGGATCGATCAGGAAGTGCTTCTGGGTGACCTTGCCACTGCTCGTATCGAGCTTGATCACAGGGTAGCCCATCTGGAGCGTCCATGTGTCCATGATCTCTTTCACCGTTTTTGGGAGGATCACGTTGTTCTTGTTCACCGCCTGCACCGACAATCGGACATTTGCGGTTGGCCAACTCTGCAGTCAAATAAATCGCATTCGCGTACATTGCGATTGCGAAGTAAGTTGAAATCAGGGCTACTATTTTAGTCAATGAAACTGAAGACCAAGAGAAATGTCTGGGATAATGTTTTGATGTCACCACACCTCACCTTCATCAACTTCTTTGTAAAGGATCTCACAACATTTGTAAAGTTAAACCCTGCTCTTGTAGTATCCCACTTTTTTTCTTTAGATTTTGGGTTTATCGCTAAGTGCAACTCTCCATCTCAGAGAATAGCTCATGGAAGCAGATATCAGAGAGTTGCCTCTAAGATCCATTCAAGTGACCTCTGTTCCACACAGTAGGATCAGCAATTTCCTACCCATCTTCGTACTGCGAGTAATGTTTATCGTATGAAAGTTAAATTAATATATTTGATCCTCAGAGATATACATTTACAAAATTACCTGCAGAAGCAAATATAACGTCATTTTTTTTTGTGTGTGCACTGATCGGTGATCGAGCTAAGACCATTAACTCACTACACTTGATAATCTGGCTGCCTTGATTTAAACTCAGGATCTCAATGGTACCAGCTTAGTGCTCTTATCTCTGCGCTACCCGGCTACCTCATCTGATTTTTATGTTGAGTGCGAGTCCAGGGTTTGATGCCATGATCTCATATATGTTAGTGGAACACTCACGATGCTGTTCAGTACTCAGCCACCTCTCCTTTGGACATTATTCTCACTTTGTTGCAGACAGGGACGGCTATTGTGTGTGCATCGCGGTGCCAGTGTGACTCTTCACCTGCTGCTGGTGATCCCACAGGTCATCCACCGCTGCATTGCTGAGCTGGTGAGCCAGGAGGTAAGTCTGCATGCACACATGCGAAGCTTCCATCAACATATGCTTGGGACACCACACATTGACAATGCACACATACATTATCTGAACGTTACTGAATGTTGTTGCACAAACTAATTATTGTCCAATAATTCAATGGCTCTTTGTTATTCATGACAGACTTACATTTAGTCCTTCTACAAACACAGGCTCAGTGAGGAATGATGATAACATACGGAGCACAGATCCACCCTGAAATGAGAAATATAGAATAAACGCTCTTTAGAACAAGGCAGCAGGTCAAACACATAGGAGATGTTTCTCCTAAACTGGTAGATACCTTAATTAGGATCAGGGTTTTGGAAACTTCCACTAAAACTTGAGAATCATAAACATTTTAGGCTCTCTAAATATTGGGAGCATTAAATAAATTCTGAAAATTCTAACCTTGAGCTTATGCAAAGCATTGAACAATTAAACAAATGTACGTATGTCCACTCATCTAATGTGTATAGCCCAAACGTGTAACAATATCAATTCATCAGTACTGTTTGTACGTTTTACGATGTGTGAATCAAATCAACATTTTGTATTAGTATGTTGAATGTAATGTGCTAAATCGCAACCCTGAATAATGCTAATTCATTGAAATAGCAAAGAAGAGGAATCATTAAGCCCATACGTATAAATCCGGTGGTTAAAACTAGCTTGGACTATAATCCATCGTTTGAATCGTGTATTATTTTGGGGTTTCCTAAAATGCTATGTGGAGTCAAAACTTATCATGCATTCATTGACAATGAAGACCACAAAGCTTAGGAAATTATTGGCCCGGTTTCTTGCTGTCTTCCAGCTTGTCTGTGATTTCCTGCCATATTAATCTAGATGGACTGAATTGACCCCCTCTTCTTGGTAACCTGTCTGATGTTCTAACAAAGTTTGTACAGAATATTTTGTTCTCTTAAGTTATCTGACCATGGGCAGATCCACGCCTGAAGTTCCCACAATCTTATTAGATCCTATGCCCTCCTCTTTACCTCTTAACATCACAATCTGTACTTGGGTTATCAAGGCAGAACAAGGAAAGGATGGTTAATGATATCTGCCCTTGCCTCTAACAGCAGTTTTTTTAGGTGACACCATCACCGATGCATTTCTGCATAATATCTAGAATAGAATGAATATTACATACATCTGTTTGTAATTACCTGATTTTAACAGGGGTTTAATTATTCACGTAAATATTTGGATAATCAATATGTATTCTTGAAAAAAAACAGCTGTCACTATAGGCACTGAGGTGATTTTGAGATTAAGAGAACAGACGGATGGTACCTTGCTGTAAGAGATGGAGTCGAATTGCTCACTGATTTCTTCTGGTGTGTTGATGTCTGATTCATCAGAGGACAGAGGATGAGAGGAGGCCAGGCTGTCCATGGAAAACACATGTTGCAGCTCCAATATCACGAACAGTTGTTTCTGTTTGTCGCAAACATGAGACATACTGTTTGTCATTTCTGAGCCGAAACAGTGTGTTCACCTTTTTATTTCCTTTGTAAAAAAAAGTACAATTTGAAAGCGATTAACTGAACTGCATCGTAAATGATATGTTATGTAAACAGTGATATGAATAGGGAATTATGATTGGGTGGATCAGAAGTCAGATTTTTGGTTCACTGAACTGGCACTGCTGAGAACCTGGGTTGGAATTCGAGCAGCTGCCTGTGATTAAACCGGGTTTGTAGGTGTCGCGTGTTTATGATCTCGGCCACATCACCAATAACTATACAAAAGAAACATGTACATTTTTGTTTTGTACTTTATTTGGCTAAATTCCAACCACCGAGAACTGAAAATATAATTTTGACTGTCATGTAATGAACATTACTTTCATATCTAGAGCGAGTTGGAAAGTGTTACCCACCACTGTGTGGACCAGCGGTCACATGAAGGGATCTCAGAGGGAACTCTGGCATCAGATTCCATGGCCTATTCTCTCACATAAGATGTTGCATTCCTATGCAAGAGGTCCAAATTCATTATTCGTGACATGACATTGATAACACAGTTGGGATAAAGCTAAGAAATGTCCTTAGAAATGAAAACATAAGATAAGGATAGATAATGTGAGTGGGCTGTCATGGTCATGATTGTTACCATTTCCCAAGATGGTTCAGCATAGTCTGCTCCCAGGTACTGCACATAGGTAGCAAAGCCCTCGTTTAGCCAGAGGTCGTTCCACCATTTCAGCGTGACCAGATTCCCGAACCACTGCATTCAGCGGTGAACATAAAACATATGCATGTTATCGCAAACTCGATTATACATGTGTGCAATATTCGATGTTATTTTATTCTACGACATCTGTTTCATGTGATTGGTACAAAGGTCGGGCCTATCAATGTGGGGTTCCAAATATGTGGAGTTGGGAAGGCAAATATGCACAGTGTGCCAAGATAAGTACACCGTTGTGAAGGCTTGGTGATAGGCATTAAAGATTATTGGTATTGGCTTGACCTGGGTTGGCATGATCACAAGTTTGTGTAAATACTGCTGCCATGAGATATGCAGATTGAAGGTCAACATCTCTGCAAGCGTTTGGCCTTGGCCATCTAAGCGAATTTCAACACACCTGTTTTAAAATTTTCTTTCTGCTGAGTCAAGTACTGTAAGGCTTGTTTAAATGCTGCTCATCTCTTACATGGCCTTTGGAGTGGGAAATGAATAACCTGTGCTTTATGATGGCAACAAAGGTTTGTTATATCGACCAAAATCATTTTTTATTGCCTGCATTTTTTTTTAAACAATATATCCCAAGTGTGCTTAATAAACATCACACAGTAAAGCATTTTTTTATACTAAAACTGCCATTATGAACGCAGAATGTTGCATTGGGAAATCTCCTGACAATTTTCAAGGCCCGAGGGCCTGTTTCACCACAACCCCTGAATGTAGCTTTTTCAACTGTATACTCAGCGATTAAATTTGTATCTCTTTGTAAAAATATCCCTCAGAGTTAGGATATATTTATGTACAGGTTTACTTTGTATTGCCATTTGTGTTAATTTGATTTCACCTATAGTTATGGATAGTATTATACAGTACAGCCCATTGTCCATCCGCTCTTGGATGAAGGCCTCCCCTTGCTGTGCCGGTCATGGGGTTTGACCATTCTTCATACTGGGTCAGTGCGGGGTTGGCAAGGTAGGCTGTCCAGGACTGATTCAGACGTCACTCTCCACTGATGTTAGCCGGGGCCGGAAAATGAACAAAGCTATTTGGAAGCAGCAGTCTCTTTAAGGGCAGCAGCAGGGTCGCGCACCACAGTGCCCGTGTTGCGGTACCTGATGCGCCAGCTCGTGCGCCACGACCGAAGCCACGCGCTCCTTGTTGCCGTTGGACGACTGCACCGGGTCGTACAGCAGCGCCGTCTCGCGGTACGTCACCAGGCCCCAGTTCTCCATCGCGCCGGCGGCAAAGTCCGGCAGCGCGATCTGGTCTGGGGTGCATGGGACAGCCGAGATTCGTGAGCTGCCGACCAAGAGCTTGGGACTCCGTAACAGATTTGGTCGATGGGATATATTAACTTGGAAACCACTTGCAAACGAGAAGGCCCGACAAGCCACTATCCAGGTAAAATGTTTGAGTAATTACATTTTTAAGTAAAACTGCTTATTTGCCTGTGCAGACTAAGGGTGAAAATCCTATCTTTACTAAATGGCCAAAACACATGACCTGGCAATTTGCACCATGGTTGGTAATTAAGACATTGGTGTGCTATTGGTAAATAGTGTCTCACAATTTAACAAATTTCAAGATATTAACCTTGTTCTTTAGCTTTATTCTAGTGGAATATAGTGTTCCATTTATATATAAAATTACAATTCTGTGTAAAAATTTGAATTTCTGTACTTTGGATGCTCATTTATACGCATTGAGGTAATTCAATATAATGAATCATGTCATCAAAAACTCCAGTTCCTGTGATCCACCAAGATGCAGGTTTTATATTTATCAATAATCAGGTGTGGGCATTGAAGAAAAGGTTCCCTCAAAAAGTGTTTCTAAGGAATGCTGTATTTGGCCACCTGAGTTTCCAGGGTTGAATACCTACGACAGATACCGTACATTTATTTATAGTCCATTTATTAGTCAACAACCAGCCTATGCAGTCTGTGGTGTGAAACCGCACCACCACGCAATGTCGTGTAATGCACATTACACCAGTGGAGCACGAGCGATACTGCCACAGTTGTCGGTGAGGACTGGAGTTTGAGAAGCACCCTGAGTTGGTGCACACACACCGTGGCAGTTAGTTAGGTGCCTACCAGACTTGGGAAGCGGGTAGGCCACTCGGTAGTAATCCGCAAAGAAGTTGAGAATGTTGCCGGTGATATTGAGGGCATAGTCTGCCTGGCCATCGTCCACTGCCTGCGGCCGCGCCCAGATGCGTATCTGCACACGCACAGGTGATAGAGTGACGGTAGCCGATGATCACTGTCTTGTTCTTTATGGAGTTGAGCACATTATCGGGATTTTGAGAGACATTAATAATAGCTGCTCTTGTGTTATGCTTCAGTTTTAAGTTTAATACAAGTATAGTAAATCCATTGGGTCCTGATGACAGTGTACTGCACACTACGTTACCAAATAAGGATAATGCGCGCGTGAACTCTTCGTGTTGGCCATGCTAATGATTTTCAGGTCAATTGGTCACATCTTATTTGGCATGAATGCAACACGGAGCAGACAGCACTGTTTCCTCCCAACTGGACTTCTACCATGACATTGTCATCAAGAGTGTAAATTATATTTACTTTGGGTATTTGACCAATGTGGGATTGACTTTGGTGATTTTAGTTGAGTAAATGTTCAATACGCACCTGTGTGCCGTTTTCTATTTTCTCGATGTAAGTAAATTCGCACACGATGAAGGCCAGCAGGTAGGTGGACATCTTGAGAGTTGTGTTGAACGTGGTTTCTCTCCAGGTAATTGTCCCTTCTGTGATGTCTTTTTTATCTGGAAATGTATAATAGTGTCATCATCAAAGTTGGAAGCAAATTGATGCACCATCACTGATATAAACCAGCTCTGCATCTCCGTGAACTTAAACTGAACTCGTTGAAACTTTTCAAAATGTTACTGTGAGTCTTCAGAGTTGTGTCAAACGTGGTTTCCCTCCAGGTCATTGGTCCTTCTACGATATCATTTTCAGCTGAAAATGTATAATCGGTTCATCAAAATTTAAACGAGCTCTTCGTTTTCGTGAAATAAAATTGAACTTTTTAAAACTTTTGTTTTGTTTGTATTTTGCAATGAGCCCAGGAAGCCTTTTTAAAAATATTCCAGTGCTCTCATGGGCTTTGGTATAGGAAATCAGTGACTGGTGTAGTGCATTATGATAGTTACCATATTTTTCTATGCTTGTTTGAAACAAATTACATTTTTTGCGATTTTTTGCTCAGTTTGTTTTACCTTTTTATATCCCAAGTTTTCTGTCTACAACACAACATTAAGCATTTTCACTTCTAATAACGTCCTACTGAAACAAAAAATAAATTCCGCGAGTCCACTGCACATTCAGTGCCCACACTTTCTTCATACTAGGTGCACTTGTAGTGAAATAAATGAATATGTGCAAAGTGGCTTCACGTGTTTGACTTGGGCCTCAGTGTAAGAAATGAAATGCGTCTCCCTGTTCAATTTTCCTTCCTCTTTGTAACCCAGCTCCGAGGTCCCTGCAGCCCACAAGCCCTGATGCAGTTTCACCGCCTGCACGCTCGATGGCAAGGCCACTGGATGAGCATGACAATAATTGTGATCGTGGGGTTTCTCACCTATAATGGGCATGTTTGAGATGGCCTTGTGCTCGGGTTTGTGTCTAATCGTCACGTCAAACGTAGCCTTCATGGCCGGCTCGTCGAAGCACGGGAAGGCCTTGCGTGCGTCCGTGGGCTGCATCTGCGTGGTGGCCACAACCCTGTGAGGGGGGGGGGGGTGATGAGGGACAGCATAATAATGTAGAGAGAAGTGAAACATGATTGGTGACGATGGGGCAGCATTCATGCAGTGATGGGAGTGGGTAGAACAACGTTCAGCACGAAATTAGCAAGATTCAGTAGGAAACTTTTGAAGGCTTCCATTTGGAAAGCAACTGCGATAAAATGTATTATGTGCTGCCATGATGGATTGTGGGTAATGATGCAAAATTAAATAAACAATTTAGCTGTTTCTATTTTTTGTCAACTCCCTACCCCTGTTCAAGGTCAGGCCCTTTGTGAACATCACCAGAAATATTCATCACCACCAAGGTGGTGACAAGAATGTCTTCATATTTTATCAGCCATTGTCTATTCACTGCTGGATGAATGGCTGTTTACACCGTCGCCATCTGTCACGGTTATGAGATCCCCCAATCCATCTCACAACTGGACATAGCTCCGTTTGCAAGTTGATCGTCCTCTAGCAAATGTTTCCATATTATCATTATCACTTTACATTTTACTGATATAGCCATTCACAACATATCTTGTTCCCATGCATAATATATAATTTTCAAATGCAGTGCATACCAATGCAAGTGTAAGGCCGCGCAGGGGCAACGTGGTCAGGGGTCAATGCCTCACACTGATGGCTCGTGACCACCAAGATGGCGGTGTCATTTAAGGGTGCAAACAATTACAGCATGGCCAGAGGTGACTACAATCGGTGTCATAATGTCACAATCCCTTTCTGGGTCTTGTGCCTTTCATGCGGTATGGTAGGGCAGTCAAGAGTTTGAAACATCAGCAAATGCATGATACTGTTTAGCCACCGCCCCCTACTGGTGGCGGTGGCATAAATTGTAATGTCTTCATGGGTGTTAAAGAAGTGACACGTTTATGAGCTGTGAATTGTGAAAGTTGCGTGTGCCTGCACGTGCAATCGCGAGAGTTGTGTGTTATGCTTGCGAGCGTAAGTGGATGAGGATGGGTAGTGGTGACGGTAAAGTATAGTTGCCCTGAACGTTTGAGATGTGTGTGTGCGTGCGTGCGATTTGTAATGTGACGGCGCTGGATAGAGTAACATGGATTAGTGGTGGGCTGACTCCTAGATGTGAATAGAGGTGCAGCAGCCGAGGTTACAGGGCGCGATGTGCCTCGGTTTAGTGCACCAAGGTTACAAGCTAAGGAATCCCTGCAGCAGATTACAGAATCCTTTTAGTCATGAGCGGAGTTTGGGGGGCAAAGTGTGGGGGCGGGGCAATGCTCCCCCAAACCGGACACCTTTATTTTCAGTAATTTACAATTAAGATAAAAAAATAAATTATAGGCACCTGGATTCCGAATGTAATGGGCAAAGCGAACCCCTGCCCCCCACCTATGATTTTAGCTTATATAGCCTGTCCCCTCAGCTACAGAGTGGCATTGTTATTTAACTTACATTACATGTTTGTTGTTACATTTAGTTTTGCGTGCAATGTAATGATTTCACAGAAATGTACATGCAAATAGTTGAATGACACATTCTACTGGAAATTTTTAAGTCAATTAGTTTATCCCTCTTGTGCACTCGGATTTTAATGAGGGGACTAAACTATTTGTGTGGGGGTTAGACTACCTTAAAATGTCTTCTCCCTTCCCCCACCCCCCAAGTCTCTAAAGTTATGGGGAGCTAGAGCCCCCTCCATTCCTTGTCAGAATAAATCCGGCCGCACACACACACGTACTTGCGAACTCCACCCTCCGTGTACTCGCTGCGGTAGAAGCCCGCGAGGTCATCGGCCAGCTCGCCCACGAACTGGGTGGCCATCGTGTAGATCGCATCCTTCTGCAGCGGAGCCTTCAGTTCCAGCACCAGGTACTGGTTCTTGGGCTCCAGCCAGGAGCTTGCCACCTCCACACCGTTCCCCGAGGAGTCTTTGAGGAGAGCCAAGTGGCCGCCCTTCACGGTGTAGTTGAGTTTGTTGCTGTGGATGATGACGTTGCTCGTTGGGACTAGACACTGGAACTCGACGGTGGAGTCGCCGCTGAATGTGTAGAGTTTGGTCACGGGGTCCGGATCTAGCTTTGGCCAGAGCTTCACCTTGTAGCTGCTGGGCACCAGGTTCTTAGGGAGGCGAATGTTCTTCCAAGGTCCGGGGCGAATAGTCGGAGTGGGCTTCTCGTTTGTAATGTCGGAGGGCTTCGGTGTTGTCTTCTCGGTGGGCGCAGGGGCAGCTGGCTCTTTGTTGACGTTCAACTCGTTGGAGTAGACTACTGACAGAGCGATGATGGTGGAGAGCATCCCCACGAAAAGGACCCCCAGCAATACCAGCAACAACTTGCTCACTGTGATGGTCGACATTTTTTTTGAGCACGCAAGCCAAACTATGCATATACAGTATATACAAAACACTGCACGGGGAAGGAGGAGGACCCGTTATCATACGAGTCTGTGGGGGGCGATGATATATGAGCAGAGACGGATTATGTCAGAGTCGGCTGCTGGTGTGACCACCAATAGCTGAGTGCCGGTGTCACCACCAGGAGTACGAGGTTGCAGTAGATTGAAATTGAGTGTGTTTGTGAGCGTGGTTAATGTTTACCCACTCCGATTTCTAGATCAGCCAATAGTGGCCCAAGGTAGGGCTCTAAATAGTCCTCGCCAACATGATTAGCTAAGCCCTCAGAGCATTCTGAGAATGATTAAAATTAGTTGGGGAGGTGCAGGCCTAGATGCTGTGAGTCATGGCTTTGGCAATACCGTAAATACTTAAAATTGTGGTCGTTTGTATTTCTTAACAAGGGAATGTTCCCCACTACCATATCTTGTGTTCTTTTTTTAGCGAGCATGACCATCAGAATATCTGTTAGAGTATATTTTAGAGTCTTAATGCAGATGCAGCTTTGCTTTGACAGGAGTCTCGTGATTATTCTGCGATCTCTGGCGTGGTCACCAAACATTGCTTAATAACAGATTATTTATTTTTGCGAGGGCGGGTTGTGAAGTGACATCTTTTTTTATGTTGATTTTAGTTTTTAAGCCTAGCCCTGAGAGTTTATATTGGAGTTTTTGAAGGACACTAAATCAAAATGGCACGATATATAAAAAATAATTTGAAAACTAGCACTGCCCACGTATTTGCGTGGGATACATGGCCGGGTAGGAGGGTAGATGGGGGGGGGGCGTGATACCACATCAGCACGCAGGAAAACCGGCTCAGCACTGGGATGCGGTGAAGTCATCACACAGATTGGCACGATGACGTCACTACCGGATATTTGTGTGCCCATGCGCCAGCCAGAAAAGCTTTTTTTTCTAATATAGGATGAAAAATATGGTGGTGGAATTCGTGGTGCATTGGTTAGTGTGCCGTGCTATGAAGCTGACGATCTGAGTTGGACATCACTGGTGAGTCATATCTAAACTGGTCTGGAGCCTCTCTTTCGTTGACTCAGGCTTAAGATGCACACCTGGTGCAGTATAGAAAAACAGCAGCACTGGGGAGACAGTTGGACAGGTGTGGTTCTGGCCACACCACCCCCTTCATGTGCCATACATGCCTAAATAGGTGCTCGTTAACAAAATGTACCTCAACAGTCTATAAAGGATGAGAATAGGTTTTCCACTTTTTTCTGGCAACAAAACAGGTTTTTAGATGTTAAAACACCAAACTGAAACCTTTTACAAGGAATCATGTCTGCATTAACCACAATAATATAAGCATTGTCTTCGAAACTGATTGGTCCACACGAGAGACAGCTTTCTTTTGAGCCTAGTCTCAAAACGGTGTTAGACCAGAGGACGCCAAAAGCCGTTTGCATTTTGACCACAAGTATTGTGGTTAATTCCTTGTAAAAGGTTTCAGTTTTGTGTTTTAACATCTTAACACTTGTTTTGTTGCCAAAAAATAGGGGAAAACCTATTTTTATATTTTGGTACTGGCAAAGGAGGTCCCATGATGTAGTCTATAAAGGCTACTTCACGGGTTGTTGCCATTGTTATAGTGTGCATTTGTATGTGTGTGTACAAAGGTGTTTATGTGAAATGGAGTGATGATATAAATAGATAATGGCTCATGATAATGAGAAAATTATAGATCATCAGATTTGCAGTATAAGTGACTTTTGCAGTTACATTTGATTTCGTGATAATTGGATTTCATTGGTGGCTTTGAGCCAAATCTCATGATTAATTGTCCCATACTTGTGTCGTGTTGGCAGATAATGTGTAACTTACTGTCACACACTTCAGCGAACCAAGAGACTTTAGAGCAGGAGTGGGCAACGTTTTTCTGACTGAGGGCCAATTCGGAGTTTCAAATTATCTTTAATGGGCCGGGCGTTAACACACACCTCAGTTCTGTCACTGCAAGAGGCCCTTGCAGAAGCAGTGACAGAGTGACTAACATGCACAATTTTTGAACACAGTGTAGCCAGGTAAAAATAGTACCAATTCATGTTATTAGGGTACTTTCAGTGATGAATAAATATAATTTGCAGGCCCTTTCAAAGTGGTAGGCCTCATAGAAGTGGGCCGTATAGAAATCAAGTCAATTACCAAATACGGTTCCTCATTCCTGCTCCAGACCAACATGGAGACCCGGAGATACTGACATTTAATCTAACCAATATATATCAATGATCCTATTTCGATCACATCTTTATTATTTAAAATACCTTGTGCTGGTCTTTAGGATATCACTGGGGTACAATATTTAACAGATAAAAACATTGAGCAAATTCAGTTACCCATAAAAAATATGTTGTTCTCACATGCAAATCATATAAAGTGTATCATGTACAAAAATGACCTTGAGATATTTGTTTTACAATGGTCTTGTATTATACAAGGTCATCGGCCAAGAGATGGCAAAATAGTAGTGGATTGAATCCATATTTGTGGGGCTTTGAGTGATATCCTCATGTGTGTGCTGTTGGTTTTTCTTCAAAACTCCCTTCATACAAATTTGCCAAACATCCCAATGCAAGACCCTCCTGAAAAAATAGTCTTGCGACTTACCAAGTTTTTCCTGGGTAAACGGGATTTCATTATTATTTTCTGATATATGTAAACCTAGTCTGGTCTAATCTTGATTTGAGGCTTTCGTGACCGCAGGAATCCATACTCTTTGGTTCTTTCGGTAAAGTCACGTAGGCATAAAATAAATCACGACGTATCGATCGCAACACAAGCAGTCGTCCTCAGGCGGAAAAAAATAATCCAGCAGTGGAACTGCTGAACCAGCAAGAGAGCTGTTACAACAAGAGGTTATTTATGTGGCGATGGGCAAGCAAGTGGGTAGGCCTCGGCAAGGTAAAGGTAAAAGGTAAAAACAACGAGCCTACCTTTACCCTACTTTTTACCTTACCACAATACAATCACTCTACCCTACCTTTTACCCTTCAGCAGGTAAGGTAAAGGTAAAAACAACGAGCCTACCTTTACCCTACCTTTTACCCTTACCCCATACAAATTACCCGATTACTGGGGTACTACACATGAAAAAGGTTTATAACAGGTAAATGCTAGGTATATCGCTTTATTCATATAGAATACTCTCGAATATTCCAATTTTATACGCTTTCTTTAAACTCAAATCTTGTAACTCAATTTTAACCCACTTCCCAATGTGGTATCGACTGCAAACTTGGTATACTTATGTCATACTGATGACAATACTATATTCTATCAATAAAAATAACATACGTATTTTTAAACATATTTTATATGTTATGTTTCGGCTTGGGTCTAATTGTCCATGTCAACTGACGTTGGCTGTAATTGGCCACGGTCCCTTACGTTATGGCAAGCTTCGGGGCCACTGCCTGGAGTCGTGGAGTTCTGCCATTACTAGTATGGTACATTTCATAAAAGCGAGTTAAAAAAAAAGTTTTTTTAAATATTACTTATTAAATGGAGGCCACGGACTGCGCCACGGAGCTTTAAGCGGTAAACAAGGCACCGTATTTACCGGGTAATACTTCGTGCTACCTTTACCCTACCGGGTAATTCTTCCGAGCTACCTTTACCCTACCCTTTACCTTACCCCTTGGCATGTCGACACCTTTACCCTTTTACCCTGCTATGTATGGTAAAGTGATGGTTTTGGTTGGATCCTCAGAAGGTTGTCTCTCCATGGCTGGGGAGGCAGCTTTGCGGATTGTACGGTCCGAGTATCCGTTCATCCTGAGGGCTTGGTGTACGTGCTCCAACTCACTAACTAGATGGTGCTGGTCGGAGATGCAACGGGCCATATGGTGTAGTGTTTTGATGAGGGAATTCTTCTGGGCTGGATGGTGGTGGGAGTCAGGCTTTAGATAGGCATCCGTGTGGGTGGCTAGTCTAGTCTGCTGTGGAAATTAAGTGCTCATTTCTGTTCTACAACTCTTCGCCAGTGGTGGGAATTCCTCATTCCTATGGTGGCCACGGGTGTGCCCATACAACAACCACTGTTGACTTCCCTGAAGAATCGTATTTATTTTATAGATTCCGGAAGGATGATAATTTCGTCATCCTCCAATCAGGATTTGATCTTGCAACATTTTTTATTGCGGGGCCGCTCACTCTACCTCTTAGCAGCAATCACATCTGCGGTGGGGTTTTGGCTGATAAGTTAGACTGATTAAATGTGCAAAGATATTGTTTATCGTCTAAAACAACCTTATATCAGTGTTTAGCAAGTGGGGATTGTGAAAGATATAATCTACCGAACGCACGCCAACAAAAATGCATAGTCTGATACAAAGGTCCTTTGGCCAATCTATTAACTTATTTTTGGACTCTGAGAAAGATGTTTACGTAGCAGGGATCAACGCTTGCGAGAGAATAGTTCAATGTGTGCCTCCACTGTATAAGCAAGAGTGGCCTGGACCACCCAAATAACAAAAGCGAACATGTTAAACCAAGTATAACAAAGAAGCTATTACAAATTGGCAAAAAAACAACCATGTTATGGAATAAATCAAATGCGATGCATGAACATAAATCAATAATACAATAAACAGCTTGTCATTTAAAGTTGGTTTGGAAAAATTATTTTTAAATGCCATTCAGAGTACAATTAAATTACGGAGACATAAATATGTATTTAGAGTGATTATTGCACTAGGATGTATACAGACAAGGATATATGAATCATTTGGCGGAACCCCGGGGTCCCACAAAAATCAGGTCAATAATTATTATTTTTCAGTCCGCCCGCTCGTGATCCCGACAGCAACGCGCCGCCCGCCCAGACTCGCACCAACAAGCGCCACCAGCAGGCGGCGATCAACACGATGGGCGCCACCCCACCGGCCAAACGCAAGCCCCGGGGGGCGTCCGCCACAGTCGCGCGCGGCGACAACGCCCTCCGGTCAGCCGTCGATTCTCAGCTTCTTTGCCAAGGCGAGCCCTCCCCCGGCAGTGAATTTAACGTGTTTACGTAATTTTTCAACTTTTTACGAAACTTAGTGCCCCGAGTAGCTCTCGACGAGGCCAATCGATTGACCACTAGTTTTGTTGGCGGTAAGGCAAGACTCGTGTCGCTACGCGGTTTTTCCCACCCCGGGGCAATGATGGGACCCCGGGGTCTCGCCAATTGCTTCATATGTCAAATATAATTGCAAGTGAAGTTATACTGAATGAACAACTCGACTTAGGTGGAAGAGTAACCAACTACCTTATCGAAGCAATGAAATTCTAGATATTTGGAACATTAACAAAGAATGAATAAGAACCGTGTGAGTGTTTTCTCCTGGTTACAATGCACTTAAGTGTTGTGGGGTGTCTAATATTTCGTTGGGTTTTTGTCTTAAATACATACTTTGGATAGGTAAATGAG